TTTTTTTTTTTTTTTTGCTTATAAAATATTATCGTTTAATAGAAATTATTATTAAAAAGGAAATTGATTCCTTGAAAGAATCTTTGAAATTAATATATTTTTTAAGAATATATATAAAAAGAAGAAAAAAGAAGGCTTCCTCGTTTAGTTGACTTTTATAGTGTTCTTCCTTCCTCTGCCTCCCCTTCAGCTTGCATCCTCCTCTCTCCTTCCCCGACAATGTCGCCGTCGCCGTTGCACCATCTTCTTCCACGGCCGCCGTCGATGACACCCTTACAGGAACTCCAGTGTCAGGTTGTTCGGAACTGTCCGAAACCATGGGCGGTTTTCCGTCAACCCAATACCACACTCCGTGCTCCCAAAACTGGCTGCTCTTCACTTTCTCTCTCCACTCGATCCCATAAACCCACTGTTCTCCTCTCTCTTTAGATTAGAATTCTTCAAATTTCTAGGCATTTCTGTTTCTGGAACTAGTAACAGCGAACAGAGAGATTTGGGGGTGGTTTTAGTGGGAATTAGTAGTTTAGGCGGCGGCGGTGGGTGGAGTTATCGGTGGTGGAGGGATGTTTTCCGGGATGAATTTGGCAATGTTGGGATTGGATTTACCGATTCATTAAAATCCCACGAATCCCCGAAATACTCACCAAATACACCACCCTTTTACGGTGTCTTATGTCCCACGCGAGCCGCACCACCACCAACAACCGCTTCCGGCCGCCTTATCCGGCGAAACCAAAGCTGTAGCAGTCGAATCTGAGCGACGACGAGAAGCAGGGGATCACGGCAGATAGCGACAACTGCGACGGAAAGAAGTAAATCTCGCCGTGAAAGAGGATGAAATGGACGGACATTATGGTCCGACTGCTAATCACGGCGGTTACATAGGTGACGAAGGTGGGTCGGAGCCAGCGGACCACACCGGCAAGCAGAAACCGGTGGGACTTCTGCAGAAGAATGAAATCAGTTTCCAGAGAGACGATGGTAAAGGATTTTATGTTTCGGCGGTTTCCAATGGCATCACCGATGGTGACAGGGGAAGGAGGCGGCGCAACGGCGACGGCGACGGCAAGATTGCAGGAGAAGGGGAAGTCCACCTCATCAAAAGTAATATTATTTAACTGCCACGTCATTTTTCGTCAATCAACGGTCAAAGAAGGTCCGGGCTATTTAGAACTAAAAATATTTTTTGTACTAATTTTTTGAGGGAAAGAAAAAGAAAAAAAAAAAGGAATTTATAATTATCCGTAGAAAATAATTAGAGGGAAATTTGTCAACTTTGGCGTCAACACATATTTTGCCGGCGAATCGCTTGAAATCACTATTCTTAAGGAAACGCCTCGATTTCTGTAATCCCATTTAACCAATTTTCTCTCTGTTCTTGATTGCCTGACCCTAAAAAAACCCCCAAAGTTTCATCCATTATTGTCGCTTTGATTCCGTCGATCGGCGATGGGGCCGGGCTTCGTGGCCTTGTCTGGCGCTGCAAAACAGGCCGAGCTTCTCCGAAAAGATGGAAACCACTATTTTCAAAAAGGTAGAATCGGAGCCGCCATTGAAGCCTACACCGAGGTTTTTCTCTATCTCTCGATTTCTTTTCGTTTCTAGTTGCTATTTTGGATTTGTTAGAATTTGCAGGTAGAACGTTTGGTTGTATCAGGATCAAACCATTTGATTATTGGATTCTGTAGTTTTATTTGTGTCCGTTAATTTCGGGATGTTCTTGTTGTTTGGACTTGAAGGCGATTACGCTATGCCCGAATGTTGCTGTGTATTTGACGAACCGCGCTTTGTGTCATCGCAAGCGGAAGTATGTACGGGCACCAACCCTAATTCCTTTCAATTTCTTCATTTTTACATTGTTTCTCTTCATTTTTACATTGGATTAGTTTTTTCTTATGGTATATAGTGATTGGAAGAAGGTGGAGGAGGACTGCCGGAGAGCTATTCAGATTGATAGCAATTCTGTGAAGGTATTGCTTTAATGTTGCGCGTGATATCAATTCAGCCTCCCCTGCTGCCTCCAACTTATTTACAGTTTTCTTATGCATTTGTCTTATCTTGAATTCTTGATCGATGATCCTTCCTTCTCTATTTCTTTGTATATCACATTTGTTGACAATTTTTTGATGTGCAGGGACATTATATGTTAGGCCTAGCATTAATACAAAATAATGTATATCCAGAAGGAATCAAGCATTTGGAGAAGGTAACTTTTGATTTTTGTATTGTACCCTCTTTTATCCTTTTCATTTGGATACAAAACAATTGATTTCTACGTAGAGATGAAATTGAGTAGAAGATTGGATTGGAGATTCATTTGAATTATGAATTGCAGAAATAACTTTTGAAAACTTTTTATATATATATAAAGTTTAGATGTAAAATTTTGCCCTTCCCTATGAAAACTTTTGATTCCATTTTTTGCTTCATGGACTTGATTGCTCTTTGCTCTGTATATTTTTTGAACCCATGAACTTCTACACTTCAAAAAGTACAGCCATTTATGGTTGTTAAAGAAATGCTTCAAATGAGAGATGGAAAAGTCTTGAGTGGTCTTGGTCCAAATGGGAAATGGATGTCCATTGGATGAAGAACATAGCAAACCAGAAGTTATTTTGGGTCATGGTGGGTGGATTTCTATAGTTGTTTTGAAGCAATCAGTAGCCACTTTGGAGGCCTAATTAAGGTATCTTCTAAAACCACTAATATCTTGAACTGCAGCTCGATTTTCTTTGAGGTACATAGAAATTCTTGTGGTTTCCTTCCTCATCAATCAAAATTAGAGGTAAAAAAAGGAGGCAACCTTTTTCTCAGATCGGGGCGACGTTTCATAATCTGAACTGCCCACCATCTGTTTCTGCACTGTTCGAAAGGAGACTTGATTTAAGTGAGCTTTTCAAATACCTGGATTTACAACCCACCGAACTCTTTTCAATTTCCTTTACAGATGAGATCCTTCTCCTGTTTTCTGCATTGTTGATTGAACTGTAGTTTGAATAGTTTAGAGAAACGACTGCTTAAGTGGGGGACGCCTACTGTGCAGCACAGCAAAGGGATTTTTAGTTTGATAAGAGGAGAGAATATGTGTGCCTTGGATGTCTTTTGAGAGTTTAGTCTGTCATAGTAGGAGGCGTGGGTTGTAACAGAGAAAGTGATAGCAATTGGTTAGATAAGATGAAAGGTAGAGTACTAATTGAAAAGCAGCTGTCACTTATCTTTACATTACTTTCTTTATGTTTCAGCTAAATGAAATTTTTTTCCTAAGAATGTGCAAATCTCCTATTCACAACTAGTTCTACAAATGAATCTACAGAATTCTGAATGAAACTTCTGTGGTGTTGACTCATTTCTTCTGAGTAACGTTTCGGTTCAAATAATTTTTTCAATAGTGGAATAAAATATCGGTTGTGAATCTAGAAATATTTTAGACTTTTGGTTCGTGTACGTTGCATCCCTGCCACTGAGCATGTAGTTTTTGTAAGCATGACATGTTTATTATACAAACATAAATTTAATTTCATCTCTTTTTATAGGCTTTGGATCTTGGTAGGGGTGCAAATCCAAAGAGTTATATGGTTGAGGAAATATGGCAGGAGCTTGCCAAAGCAAAATACAGGGAGTGGGAAAAAGCTTCTACCAAACGTTCATGGGAATTACAGACCTTGAAGTTAGTTATTTTTCTGAGTTCAGCCTTTTTGGTTTTCCAGAGTTCGATGCATGTACACTTTTGTAATTGATAGTTAGGCACACGTTTTTTAGCTGAAAATATTAATGAACCATAACCGTTAAACAAATGGACTTAGGAAATGCGTTTCGAGTCATGGTGACCACTTAGAATCTAATATCTTACGAGTGTACCTAGCAACTAAATATTGTAGGGCTAGGCAGTCGTCACATGAGAATAGTCGAGGTGCGCACAAGTTGCATGAACACTCTTTGATACTAAAAATTTGAGACGGGGGGTTTCTCGATTCTGTTTCCTTTTTTTTGATTTTGGTGAATGTATTGTTTTTCAGAGAAGCTTGTGAGGCAGCCCTTGAACAAAAGTATTTTCTTGACCATTCTGAACTAGAAGGGTTTGTAGATGAAGCTGAAATTGCTCATAGGAAACAATTAAAGTCTCTAAGAAGTGTGTTTGAAAAAGTTGGGGAGGCGGATGCGCCATCTGAGGTAATAAGCATGATGGTTGCTATCTTCAATTTTTCATTGTGACAAGCTTTTAGGCATAACATTTGCTGCTTAAATCCTGTGGAGGTACTAATTCAATATTCTCAGGTGCCTGATTATCTTTGTTGTAAAATTACACTTGATATTCTTCGTGATCCCGTTATTACTCCGAGCGGGGTTACATATGAGAGAGCAGTGATACTCGACCATTTTCGAAAGGTGACAACATTACACCTTTCACTGCCATTTTCCCATGTATTGTAGCTACAATTTTAACCATTTTCTTCCTTATCTAGGTGGGTAACTTCGATCCCTTAACGCGGGAACTGCTCGATGAGTCACAACTTGTACCGAATTTAGCCATAAAGGAAGCAGTAGAAGCCTTTCTAGATAAGCATGGATGGGCTTATAATACAGATTAAGTTGAATTTGAAACGGAACTCAATCGAGTTGATGGTTAGGCCTGCACGGTCTCGTGTCTTTAATGGCGTGAGTTTGTCCTCGACTCTTCTGTATGCATTGTCGATTACGGTTTGTCATATGATATCATGCTTTCCATGACATTCTGAGGTGGTAGCGTCAATCATGTATATGATGTCCTGTCTTGATAATTTTATTGTACAGTTATTACTTAAACCTTCATTACGGTTTTAATTGGAAGGCTATGTTCAGCTTCGGTGCGAGTTTGTTCCTTTCTAAAGTTTTGCTTTTCAAGCTGGAAAGGCTATGTCTTGTTGTGTTCAAACCTTTGATCTACTAATTTAGAGTATGTATTAATTGGTTGAGTGATGTTTAAGTTGACATACCTTTTCATATTTAAATTGACGTTTTTTATGGAACCTTAGCAATAATGCTAATTTGTTTGCTCTTATTGATTATGTGGAACGTTTTCTCACTATGGGCGACGCCATTTTTTTTTACAACCTTGCGTAAGTAAGAAGTAATGCTTGATTACAACTTGTAAGGCGAGGTTAGTATGAGTTTCAAATTTAAATTGAGTCTAAGTATTTTTCAAGTGATTTGGATGAGTTTTCAATTCATATCGAACAAGTCGAGCATTTAAACGTCTCGACTCCTTTCATGGCCCAACCATTGATTGTTGTTGTCCAAAGTCCCCAAAATTATTGTACTGCACAAACCTCACACACCACATGATTTTTCATTTCTATCCTATCTCACAGCCAGGCAAGAATATTGATAATATTAAAACAAACCCATAATTTATTTTCCTTTTTTTTTTTTAAGATCACAAGAAAATTCATTAAAGTATCATTTTTCTCAATGTTGTGGCATTATTTTCTCTCTTTTTCAAGAGAAAAGCTCCAAACATAAGCAGTGATATCCTAAAAAATTGATGTAACAGTTCAACTAAACTTGTCCATATGAACATATGAACAGACAGAACATATAAAAATTGATTAAATGAAACATTATTGTGGACAAGAAAAAGCAAATGGGGACTTGTATCTTCTACCACCAACCACACATTAGCTACACAATCCATTGTATGACAATGATTATATTAAGATGCAAACCCAAATATCATTGTCTTTCCAAATCAATATTAAGGTCATAAACCCATTTAGCAGTTTTAAATGGACGTCTTTTCCATCCGCGAGTTCGGTGTACTTTCACGGTACTTATAGGGCAATCATTTAAGCTTATTATATTTGGTCGTTGGTAACTTGCAGGATATTAAATTCTAGTATATGACTACTATGACTCAAAACCATTTTTTCTACGTCGTTAAATATTTGCATATTTGCATGACCCTTATAGAACCGAAGAACGATTTAATTTTATTTATCTGATCTTCTCAAGTTGAATGTTTCAATGAAGATTCTATAAATAAAATCCAAAGATACAGCTAGCAGGGACATGAGGATGAGGGGGGGTTTCCCTCCCTTGAATACAGAAAAAAGGGGACTGGAAAGCAACCTGACTTGATTTGGTGTACTATTTATGGTAATATATATTATAGAAAACAACCATTTGAAGAGAGAGAACTGAAGACAATAAATCGAAGTAGCCTCCAAGTGAACTAACCTGTAAACAGTCAATAAAAAGAATCATTTGGCCTCAATGGCAGCAAATTATGAAACCAAAATCAACAAGAAAAAGAAAAGGAAAAACAAAATCACAGAGCTTAAAAAGAAACCAAGAACCCTTTCATATTCATACAAATTACTCGCACAAAAGAAGGGGAGGAGATTTGAAACTTACCATTCTTGAGGAGAGATATTAGTAGCTACTTCTTACTTAGTTATACTTGTATCGGCATTTTTAGACAAGACTAGAGGAGATTGAGGCTTACCACTCATTCATAAGGATAGATATAAGTACCTCTTGCTACAATTATGTTTGTATCAATGTTTTTGGACGAGAATTCGTATCGATGGAAATGGTAAGGTGGAGGGCATGAAGTGACAAGGAATTTGTGAAGTAATCCAAGAGATGATGGGGGAAGTCTAAGGTAAAGGGGTGTCATTGCATAATGGATAAAAGGAGACTAAAAGAGTGAATATCTTCACAAAAAGGTAGAAGGCATCCAATATTCCTATTCAGTTCATCTTCAATGGACCACATTACTACTACATATCACAGAAACCATTCAAAATGATGCACACGACTTTTCCTGTTTGTTGCCCAAGGAAAGATCCAGTTGATACCACTAAGGAGCATATGCAGGCAACAATCATATTCTTTTTTCCTTTTATTCTCTCCAATCATATTTGCTCACTTCCTTTTGAACAGCTCTAAACTTATTGGTTCAGTTCAATGAATCAGAGAAAGGGAAAAACAGGCATTGGTAAAGTGCAGTAATGATGAAATGAACAATGATGAAGAACAAGTAAAGCTAACGAAAAAATGAAAGTAAAAACTTAGGAACAGAACTCACTTCACATTTATTCACAGGCACGAACCGATGAAGCTGGCAGTGAAATCGAAATTAGACTCCACAGTAAAAGAGAATATACAGACAAGTTGATTGAAGATTACCAAAACAGATGAGATGAACGAGTCTTGGCAAAGACCAGAGTGCCGGATTTAGAGGCAGAATCTACAAGTTTCGAACGCCAAGAATTTCATTATGTAGTATGGGTCGTATTAACTACCCTGTTCAGTCTCTCGAGTATGCCACTGGCCTTTCTCTTGGCTCTTGAAGTCCCATTCTGAGCAAGTTCAGAAATGGTTCGATAGCATTTCTCCTCCTCCCTCATGTCCTTCCACTGGGTTCGATCGTATAAGCAAATAGCATGGATGATCACAATGCAATTTTCCTTGTTACGTGAACAAGTACTTTCCCTGATAATTCTGAGCAGGGAATGAACAGCTCTAAGTTCTCCCATTTCCTCAATAGCTTTTGGATGGTTCGAAAGCATTGCTAGAATAGCCAACAACGCATCAACGTGCATTTGGTTCATGATCTTTTTCAGAAGCACTCGAACTGCACCATCTTTCACAGCTCTTGCTTTATTTTCATGAATTATACAAAGATTAAATATTGCTGAAGCAGCATCTTTGATAGATAATGGATGCCCCTCATCTAAAAGGTCGATGAGTGGTTTCAAGGCACCAGCTTTCCCAATGAGTACTTTGTTTGAGTCGAGAGCTGACAGAGTGAAAAGGGCGGCAGCTGCATTGCTCCTTGTTTCCATGGTTCCTGATCTCAATGCTTCCATTAGAAGAGGTACTACCTTGGGAGTTTCAGAAACAAGTTTCTTGTTGTTGTCATGGATTGACAGATTCAAGAGGGTTGTGATCAAATCTTCTTGCAGATCCGCATGAACACTACTTTGGGATTTATCTCCACAAAGTGGACTAAGCAACAAAGAGATGGCATCATGGGACTCACCAAAAAGTGCTCGAAATGAGGGCATCCGCTTTGTCAACATCCGAAGCTCCTTAGCAGCTGCTTTTTGTTCAGGTAATGTTGCAGACATTTTCTCTATTAACGTATGAAAACGGCCCCGATCAGCCTCTGTTATTATATCATCATCAAGATAATGGACACGATCTTGCAACTCAATTCCCCGACTACTACACCACCGAGATATCATTCCACGAATCAAGTGATTGGGAGTAAGGTTCGTGTGTGAAAGAACTTGCTGAGTTCTTGGGCACGTTCGGTTTCCTGATTTCAACCATTTTTGAATGAAGGGTCTGTCGAATGTCTGCAATAAGATGAAACAAAACAACAACTAGAACACTCAGAAACCAAACGATCATATAGAATATCTTAAGGACACAACCAAAATTTACAATGGTATTAGATCTACACCAAAATCATACATCACAAATGATCTATAAGCAATTCTCCTCGTTTCCTCTACAGATTTCCAGTAAAACCATTCATATTGATTCACGGTCATTATTTGTTGCCTTCCCTTCGATTATAATACGAAACATTAATACAATCACTGAAGATATGAAGGATTAAATCGTCGGCACTTGAAAATCAAAAACAAAAAAGATGCAATGTCAGGGACAATACAGTTGTGGAACAGAAGGTAAATTGAAATTTCTGATTTAAAAAGCAGAGAAACTTGAAAATCCTACACAGTGTAAATATCGAATCAGAAACTATTTGAATCTTGAAAGAACATCTCGTCCACAAAACAGAGGACAGGTAATTTGAAGAAGAGGAAGACGAACAAGACATATCCAAACAACATATTCACCGGAAAACATTCAACAAATGCAGAGAGGAAGGAAAGGTAAGAAGAAGAACATGCTCATGTCCTCAAATCTTTCGTTTCTCTACGCGAAACAACAAAACCGCAAACACACGAGTGTGTTTGCACAACAAAAGCACAAAACAAGAACAAAACAATTAGAAAACTAGAATTTCATTCAACAAAATCAAAATCACCAAGACGTAGAAGACAAATCAAAAATCTCAGTCATGAAACACAAACCTCGCCAGTTGAGACAACAACAGGATCTTTCATGAGCTCTGTAGAAAGCGGACAACGGAATTCATCAGGGCAAATGAGATTCTCGTAGAGATTCGAAGAGCGTGATCTCTTCCTGAGTTTCAACTCCTTGAGCGCACAAAGAATCTCTTTAGCTTGATCAATAGCGTCTATGGAGAAATTATCATCATCAATTATAGCAACGATGAGCTTCTGTAACTCCCTCTTCAAATCCGTAGCCTTCCCCACGACTGTAGGATTAGAATCAAACACACCAGTTTTCGCCATCAAGATCGGTAAGCAGGTTTCGATCACTTCAACAGTTAGAGAACAGACGAGACGAGACGAGACTTCCCATTACTCGAATTTCGACTCTCTTCCTCTCTCTCTCTCTCTCTCTCTTAATCCGCCATTAAAGGGTAGAGAGAGAACCAATTTTCCTGTGCTTCCATTCTCAAGAATTCCACGAACTTAAAAACTGAGGACTACAGCAACCACAATCCACATTTCTCTCTCTCTCTCTCTAATTTCTATTTCTCACTCCTTATTTTAATCCAATTATCCTTTAAATTTTCCTTCTTTTTTTCAAATATCATTTTTCTTTTCCTTTTTTTAGGCTTACCTTTTTTTTCTCTTTATTTTTTCTTTTTTTAACCTTTTACGTTTGTTATATTTTTTTTATTATTATTACCATTATTGCAAATAAAATATTATTTTTACCGATCTTAAATTAAATATAATAATTAATTTTATTTTATTTAATGGAACGTCTGCCTCCAATATTATTTGTAACATTTGTAACCGTCTAAACTCACAGCAAGCAGATATTATCTGCTTTCCTTTGTTATATATAATCATCAGTCTCACGAATATAATTTTTTATTTTTAAAATATTAATAAATAAAAAAAAAAAAAAAAGTGAAAATGAAGGGCGAGTAAAAAGGAGTGAAAATGATGATTTTATTTTAAAGGAAATGAGGGGAAGTGGGGTCCACGTGGGACCGGATGTAGGCAATCACGGAATCTATACTTATACAGCTGGCATGCCGCGTGGGGATTATTTCCTCTGCTCCCCACTCCACTATTTCTTTTTCTTTTTTTTTAATTTAATTTGTCTTATTTAACCTCCTAAATTATCCACGTATACACGCAATAATAATAATAAATAAATAAATGGAAAATCCATTTTTCGAATTTATTATTTTTTAAATTCTTCTATTCTTCATTTCAAATCACCATAATAAGTTTCTCCATGTGACTGAGTATACGACATTATTTGCACCATGTGATTAATAATGTTCCATTCTTTTTTTATTATTATTTATTTCTTTATCTCTCCTTTTACTGATTAACACGTATCTATAGTCTTTTAGGTGGACTTCAGTTTAGGTAAATTGAATGTGTAGTACTTTCTTACACACGATCCATACGTGCGAGCATGGACCCACTAGGTGCGCTCGCACACTCATAAGCCTCTTGGTCAAACTAGTTGACTGTAGCCGGATGCCCAGAGGTACAACGACCATCATACATCATGTTAAGCATGATGATCATCTCATTATCATAGTGTACACTTCCGTACTCATCCTAAAATGTTTAAATTTTTCACTTTAAATAAATACCAGTGTTACAAATTATATTAATATCCATACTTCGTTAATATTTATTATATCAATGAATTAAAATGCGACGATTTTTTTATTTTTATTGAAATATAAAAATTTTAGGAAGGTAGATCTAATGATTTATGTGGCATGATGGGGAAATAAAATATTAATGATCAAGATCCAAAATCACAAAAATAAATTCAAAAGCCAATATAATATTTATTCAAGAAAATTAAATATTTTGTTGGAAAAAAATTGGACACGTGTCAAGTTTTCGAAGGTGGAGATTTTCAACGCAAATAGGGTAGTCGTCGTCGTATGCGATACGGTGCCGTTTTGGACCTTTATTTTGTAAGTCACTGTCGTTAATGACAATTATTTAGCACGCGCCGCCGCGGCCGCGGGGGTGCTTTACCAGCTTTCTAGCACATTTTTATTTAATTTTTGTTAAATTTTTTTAAATTTTAATTGAGGGGGTAAATTGTGAAAGTTTTTAGAATTTTAGGGTCGTTTTTGCAATTTTTGATAAATAAATGAAAAAAAATGTAATTTTAAGAGAGCGGGAAAGTTGATCGTTCTCGGAAGAATGAGGTGGAGGGATGGCGGGTCCCGCAGTACAAGACAACTTTGCCGCCAAATAAGAGATCTGGGGCCCACATGTACCAACGAGGCTCGTGGCGGGTCCCAGCTTTGCCACGCGTATTGCCAAATAATTCACAGTCGGACAGCGTGTACGATGCCAGATGTTTCATTCATGCACATGTGGAATTGTACTCTTCAATTTTTTTTATTTAAAAAAAAAACTATTTTTAATATTTGATATAAAAATATAATAATATGATTTCAAGACAGCAAGAGAAGTTTCCTTTGCCCTTTTTCCCACTAAAATTCAAAAAAATAAAAATAAAATAAAAAAGATTAAAAAATAAAAATAAAAATAAAAAAGTACAAATTTGGTAGTACGTCAGTCTCATATGCTTATTTAATTACTGTTGTCCAAAAATGCCCCAAGTGAAAAGTTATATTTTCCTTTTAATTTTTTTTAATCCTTAGTTTTATTTTAAGGAAAAATAAATTAAAGATATTAGTTTGGAACAAAACAGTATAAATTATAAAGATATTAATAAAATAAATAAAATAAACAAAATAAAAGGAAAATAATAAAAGATATTATCCAATGCCCTTTTCCCTTATTCTCTCCACTTTTGGCATAAAATTGAACAAAAGTTGAGTAATTTGGTTGATCATGATCTCTAAAGAGAGAGACAAAGATTTGTCAAAAGTTTAAATGATGAGATTAAATCCTTAATAAACGCCTTAATCATGGGAGATTAGAAAATAAAGGCACAAAGGAACAATTTCGATCCCAAGGACGTTAAGTTATTTGTCGGTAAGATTTGTATAGTTTGAAACCCAAAAGTCTATGTGAGTTTCGTTACCCCGAACTAAAAACATGTTATTGTACGAATACGACTTAAAGTTATTTAATCACGACTGATAAGTATTTGAACTATGTTGTGCACTTCAGCTATTTTCACACAAACCGACCGTCTGACTTTACTACATGTGGTCACTAAGGTAACTTGTAAGATATTAAATCTTAGGTAGGTAGTCACCGTGACTTATACTCATTTCCGATCAACCCTTTACATGACTATGATTGACTATTAGACTAACTCGACTATGAATATTATTGTAAAAAGAATATTATTGTAAAAAGTGAAATGAAGATGATAAAGGCATCCACTAGAATTTCTGCACAACCTGCGAGTAATCAATGATAATCTGAAGTCAAAGCAACCTTTGCTATTTCACAAATGTAAGATACAGACAACTTTATTTAATGAAAATATTTGCAAAAACAAGAGGAGTTTCTTATCATTACAAATATTTACAAGTATCCACCCATTGGATGGATGATGGTTCAACTGATAAAGTTTGTTCATTCAAAGTTTCTACTCGAGGATCATTTTGAATCCCATTTCACCAAAACAGGAAGATGTATGTAAACAGAGTATAGAACGAAGTGTTGGTTTCGCTCGTTGTGTTTCGGTTCCCTCGGACCGACGTATGGGATCGCTACCCGTTCAAAGTTATGACAGCCGTGTTATATGAAATGAATCCCATGAACTAGAATTCATGAAAGTCCCACGTGATTATTTGTTGTACTTCTTTTGTGAAGGGTCCTTGAGGTTTGATGAAGCATTGATTTTCCCCAACTGATCAAACCGCTTTCACCACCTACATATTCATCATGGTCATGAAAAGGAACCCAAAAAAGAGATTAACAGAAGATCCATAGTTGAAAAGTGAGTGAAAAAGATAGAACAACAAGAAACTTGGTGATTCGTTTTGCTGATTATTACGGTTGGTTCTACTCAAGTGAATGCAGATACCAATCACTGAATGCAATATCAAGTGGTAACACAAACACAATTTTCTAGCAAATACTTTAAAAGGAAACATACAAAGGGAGATTCTCAATCCAAGCCATTGGCTAAGGGTAACAGCTCAAGTCCACCGCTAGCAGATATTGTCCGCTTTGGCCTGTTACGTATCACCGTCAGCCTCACGGTTTTAAAACGCGTCTACTAGGGAGAAGTTTCCACACTTTTATAAGAAAAGTTTCGTTCTCCTCTCTAACCGACGTGAGACCTCACGCTAACTTTAGTAGAAGAAATATGTGAGGTCCGGGTGATAGTTCCATAAATCCGAGTTATTTTTATGCACTGATTTGAGATAAGAGGGACCAAACGAGGAAGAAGAACACATTCAGCAAAACTTACTCTTCTATAATCATCAAGAGATATCATTAGACAGATTGCAGAGAGAGAGAGAGAGAGAGAGAG